ACTACACTAAACCTTGCCCCATCTGCAGTATGACTAGTTCTCCATTCTTCTCTACTAAAGTCAGGCAAACTTCATCAAACGTCAAACATTTCCTTGAAACCTCTTAAAAGGTATCCTTATGCCTCCTTCCCTCTGTTATATTTCAACTCCTTCTTCTCCTCCTTTTTTGTGCACTCCTCCTGTCATGTGCTCCGCTGCCTTTCCTCTTGTTTTTGCTCCTGTGATGTGGAATGGAGAATTTATCCTCAAATGCCCTTGATTCAATAACCACAGTGTATAATGTGTAATACTTTCTCTCTAGTTTCTGTAACTGCCCTTCTTCCTCAGGCAATGACACAACCAGTATATCAGACTGACAGGACTACAGCAAGCTTTAAAACAGGGGGGATTATCAGAGTGTTTAAATCCATAACCTAGTGTTTATAGGTTAATTGATCAAAAATGCAAATGACAGAAAATCAAGCTGGATAAATCTTCACATTCTAGGTATAACCTTGTTTGATCCCCAAAGTAATGAAATGTATCAGCTTGTTGATGTCAAACAAATGGATGCAATAATCCAAATATATTTTGAACAGTACGTGTAATGAGATAATATGAGCTCTAAGGTCCACCTCAGGTGTCATCACAGGCCCTCAAGAACAAACTTTTATGCTCAATCCACACACTAGACTCACCAGTAAGCAAGAAGAAATGTAAAACTGTTTTGAGATACCTGCAAACACTGATATGAGCATAAAAACCAGTGTACAGGAAACCCAGTATCTCAAACTGAACTCTAACCACCACTGACAACATAAAAGATGAGCGATGAGAAACCTCTTGCACAGAGCACAACATTTTATCAGTGATGAGGAGAGATAGAGGGGCTTACAGACACAAGGAGTGGATGATGAGAACTCCACCTTTCCTGCAGACTCGAACAGGCAGTTTATACTATGCAGAAAAAAACAACAGATAGATTCATACAAAATTCATTCCTTTAAATCATCACTTATGAGCCACCAGTGTGGTGGTGTATTTATCTGCAGAGACCCTGACACTGCCTGTATTTTCTCTTCTTTTTATTTTCCTATGTTTTGGAGGTTCCTGGGCACAGCACACATGTAAGGTTGGGACTTTGTAAAAAGGCAACAAAACTGGTGCCAGACCAGAAGCAAAATGTATTCAAGAGGAAGCCACAAAAACTGCAGAAACAGCGCTGAAAGAAATGCAAATATAGTAAAACGAACCACCAAAAACTCAATCTGGGGAATGCTTTCACATTTTGCTAGTGATGCTATTTACCAATAGTAACTGTCAATTCCTGCAAACCATTAAAATTCAACAGGGACCACCAGAAGTATCATAGTAAGACTCTCTTGCATGGCTGGGCTGTCAGAACATCTATCTGTAGTCTGTAAATCACAAGGAGTCAGCACTCACCACAAACCATTCAAAACCTTGAGATCTCTGCTGGTAAAGCCCAAAGACAGGACCCTCTGAGAGGGAGACTGGAGTAGTGGATGACATTATTATGACATCACATGTAAGCAGCAAGGACCCTAGAAAAGAGACTGAGGAAGCTTGCATAAAAGGGACCCTGACCCACATCAGAGTACACTTGACCTCCAGTTCATTTGATTATTGTGAACGGTATGTACCGGATACAAATTTGTGTTTCCTAGAATACTGAAAGCACAAACCGCCTGCCTCTCCCTCTGACTGGCTAGTACTCATTGCATTCATTGGTTGAATTGTTAGGGTTTAAGCGAGACGAATGAGATTGGTTAGGATTAGGGTGAGAATGTCAGGGTAAGCCAATCAGAGGCAGAGGAAGGACAGAGTTGGGTAGTTAATGCCTTCGCTATCCTAGGAAACACAAATTCATGTGCCAGACCCAAGCAAAGATTGACGAACCAGCTCTCAAAGTACAGTTCATGTGTACTTGGGTACGGTTTGAAGCAGATGTAAAAAACAACTGTACCACAATCCAAAAGTGAACTGGTATTTAATGGGAGTAGCAGTTGGTAAGTAGCTAGGCAAAGGTATTTCTCAGCGTCACCAATCTCCAGTCATGTAGATGATGATGCAGGTGTATTCAGGTATGGATCAACTTTATTAATGCGAAAGCACAGCACCAGAAGCAGACAACATCATCTGTCTGTGAACACTAGAGCACAACCAGTCACAGCATCCACTGGGAGGAAGTCAAAGGTCATGGACCAGTAGTCAGTGGTCGACCAGACCGACATCTGACACCACAGACAGGGATCCCCCTACACACACACCTCCCCCTCACTCTGAAAAGTGTCATACATATCTTTTGCCTTTTTTGTTCCACATGGAAAAGTTGGAAGAGGAAAAGAGAGGTCAGACGATGGGGAGAGTTTGTTTGGGAAAATGAGAGCGTAAGGGAGAGCAGAGGCGAGAAGTCAGAGAAATGAAAGCAAGACTTAAGATTAAGGAGAGGAAAAAGAGGAGGGAGAAAGAGAGCTGTCATGGAAGTCCTCTCTGTTGTAAGCGTAGACAAACTCAAAGTCAAGCTGCTGATCGTGCTAAAGGTACAGTAAGTGTACAGCACAGTGTTAAAGAGTGGTGAAAATAAGGCATGGTGACATGATATTTTACAAAATCAAACCAGGTAGATGCTGGTTTAATCACCTTTGTAAAACCCTCCATAGACAATTCGAACTTCTCTAACAGCTTCTGGTTTTAGCCTACAGATCATAGTCGTTTCTAGCCCATTTTTGGGGGTGCTGAAGCACCCCTAAATTGAATCCCAGCACCCCTAAAATTTGAGAGATTTTTATTTATTTTTTTTACTGTATGTCCTTTTTTAACAAGCTAGAAAAGTGTCAAAACCATACAGCACTTGGTTGAAACGTAATATTTTAACAACAAAAATACAGCAGCCAAGGTGCTACTGACTAGCTAACTGACTAGATGCCCATTAACATTATAACTCCTATTGTGTGTGTGTGTGTGTGTGTGTGTGCGTGTGCGTGTGCGTACAGACAGACTGACTTTTTTTTTCGAGAAAAAAAAAAAAAAAAAAGAGCCAGGTTTAGGTAAGAGTGTAAGATCAAATGGTCTATCTATCTAGAATGTAGTATTTTTGGTATTTTTGGTACTCACTATAGGGGGCTGGTTTACTCCAGAAACATACATACTGTTTATGTGTATGTTGAGGAGCTGCTGTATCAAAATGAGTCGTCTTCCCCCAGAAATTAGGGTTACAATATGTTTCTTTGATGATTACAATCCATTCCTCTTTTGCTGTGGCTCAGCATTTAAATAACCTTTAACAGATTTGATGGTTTAGTCACAGACTTTCCCAAAAAGTGTTGTGCTTTACTTTCACAAATGTGGGAATGAAACTGCGTTAAAATGTACAAAACAGTGAAATTTATCTTGCCTGGCCGGGCAGCTCTCTGGGTGCTCAGCACCCCTCAACCTCTGATCCTAGAATCGCCCCTGCTACAGATCCCCGGTTTCCCAGCAGTAACACAGATAATGTGACAGCAGTGTGGTCAGTGCAAACAGGACAGCACACACCACCACAGCGTTATCGGATGGCTGGGTCTGTCCTGTCTTTTCACTTTCAAATCACCAAAATGCTTTGCTGGCATTTCTGTTGGGAACTCTGCCAGACTGTTTATTACACATCTAAACACCAAAACTTTACTTACTGAAGTTAAGATCCTTTTCTCATATCTTAGGTCATAAATATATAAGGCATTAAATAACATGGGTTTCAAATGACATACATAAGATAAATAAAAAGTAAAAAGACTTTCCCAATATCATCGTAAGACAACGAGGGGGCAGAATTTCACTGAGCACAGGTGTGATGTGGTGTGGTGATGCAGGAAATGGTGATAGTATATATTTATAGTGTATTTACGCTGTTTTCTCACAAACAGCACAGCTTCTACTTGCTTTTCTTCCGGTGTTAGCTTCCTCACAGTTAGCCTGGTTAGAGAATCAGATCTAGGTCTTCCATCACTGTTTCTGAGAGATGCAGCCAAGTTAAAAATAGCGTGGGAACCCACATCAACACTCACACTGTTGACACACACACATACACTTACAGTCTACCACACAGTGTGTGAAAGAGAGAGGAATTACATGTAGCTATTACGTGTAATGTTGATGAAATTAGAAGAGTCAATCAACAAAAAGTATGATGGAGACAAACGCTTCACTGCCATCCATCCATCTAACCTTTTATTAACAAGAGGAAAGTGTCTCTCACTTCACTCATGAAAAATTGACTCTTCACTACATACTGCGTGTATCTGTACGACATGTACTTGTACTACTTCAGCTTACAGTACTGTTAGAGTGTTTTATCTTTAATAAAGATGAGTCTGAAACCTGTGCATGCTCATGCTCAGAAAACATCACAGGTATTTAGTAACTAGGCACACATGAGATGGCACATAAACAGCACAAGACAAAACACTTGAAGCCATTTCCTTTTGGCTTCAACCCCTCACACAAACTGTGTTTGTCAAACCATTTCATCCACAACCATAATACTCTCATCTACACCATCAAACACAGTAAGACCAACCAAGTCAGCAATACTTTACATTTTTTACTATGGAAACAAGGGACATGATCAACCGCCACTGTGTTCTCCTGCAAACACATCTTATCTGCTCTGTCACTGGTTTTCTGTTTTGCTCCATTCAGCTGAAAGCTTTGACTAATGCTAATGTGTAAAAGTGACACCTTTCTACTACCTGCATGTGGCTCACAATAAATCCACTCTAATGTCAAGGCAGCTGTTGGCCTTTACTGTGACATTATCCAATATTACCGAATATTTATTTCATATTTAGACATTTTCTGCAAATATTGGATATGTGCTATAAATTTAAAGCTAATTCTAATTCTAATTCTAAGCCTGACACTGGCATTGTTCATACTGGCTCTCGATTCACAAATGAAGGACAAAATACACAAGACACTCTTAATACTGTACAGCCTTGAAAGAGTGTGCTGTTACATACCTCTCTCTTGTACATAGTAAGCGAGGTAGAGGTCAAGCTCTTTGACAGAGACAGAGATGTGTCGAGGCTGGACACAGAGGACTGGATTGGAGCACTGGCCGCCCTTCACCAGCCGCTCTCCATCTGTGCTTTCCAATGGGATTCCTTTAAACAAGATGACCATCACCAGGTCCAACCTCCACACCTTGGACAAGACAAAACACAATCATTAATCACAGAAACAACACGAATGCAAGTCAAGCCAAGCTGATTGTACTGATATACCGTGTTTTACTTTCAGACAAGATCCCCTTTCATTTCAGACACAGGGGAGGTGACACATTCTTTTTTTATATATACCAGTTTATGTGTGGGAAATGGTGCTCGCATCGTTTTTGTGTGTGCAAATCGTCAACACATTGGCCTCACAGTTTAACATCAAGACTTACATCACCATTGATCAGTATCATAAATGATTAAAGTCCACTGCTTTCCATACACACACCATAACTGCAGACAAAGCTCTAAATGTCTTCATAAAAGTTACGATTAAGTGTGTCCTGTTTCATTTAAATTCAATAAGTATTAGTTGCCACCTCATGGTGCTGAACTTGAATTCCATTTAACTGTTACTGGTTTTATATGACCCATTTGACTTAACTGAAGCTTTGCTTTCATTTCGGAGGCCGAATAATGTGAAGGAAGAAGCTGCAGTTGGTTAATAAGAAATGATCTATGGAGAAATAATCAGTAATCATTGTGCTTCACCTCACATATCGCTCCTAATGGCTGACTGTTTGATGGGAAATGCTGACAAAAAAAGCCCAGATACAACAACATGTACTGAAACCTTAAGATGCTTTAAGAAAAATCTGAAAAACTTTACTATTTATTAGGATAATTTTTCTACGTTACTTTCTTTTTTTTTTATCTGTGAAACAGATATTTTTTTACCTTCTTTCACAGATGAAAAGAAAACTCAAAAAACTCAAAAAACTTTTGTTCTGAATTTAAAAACTGTTTTTCTGTTTCAAAGATGGACAGAAAGGAATTGCCTTGGAAAAAACCTTGTTTTCACCAGTTCTCAAGTAATGAAAAAAGCAGAGAAAACAATTTAGATCAGACCTAGAAAATAGATCACTACAATTTTTTTCTCACTTGCCTCTCAAGGCTTTGGTAGACACAACTGCGGTAGGGAAAGTGTACCTTTATGTCTCATGATGAAACAAAAACATCTTGTAGATAAAACAATGATGATGCAACCATTTTTAATCTCAATCTCACAGGAGAATGTAGACCTAACATTTAGCTCCCTTTACAATCTCCTGCAGGCCATATGCTTTTTTCAATGTAATACATTTTGTTTTTCTGTCATCAACATTTACTTATCATCCAGTACTGCCAGTGCAAACAAACTACTCTAACTGAACATGTGCTGTTTAGTTTACCTTGTCAGCTTGTCGTAGACAGTCTATGCGTCTCATTTTGCCTTTCTGGTCAGGATTTGACAGGACACAACATGCAGCTTTCTTCCCAGTGATTGACAGGACAAAGTCTTCTCTGCATTCAGGTCTAATGTCCTTTCTTAACTTGGCCAAAAGACGGCTGGCCCACTTCTGTTTTACCTGAGAACAAAATAATGTAAAAGGAGTGAGTTAATGCACTGAATAATGTGTTATTTATGTATGGGAAAAAAAGGTTTATTTCTACCATCCCACCTCTGCCTTCTCCCCCAGCAGTTCGTCTTTGACAGCTCTCTCTTCTTCTTTAGTCATCCTTTTCTCATGTTTTTTGAAGTACTTCCTTTTCCTGGCCTGGAGGTTGAACCATGTGTAGGCAAAGGCACGGACCTGGGGCAGCAGAGCCTCAATGAACGGATGGAACTCATCCTACATGACAGACAGACAAACATAAATAGACACACAATCATCAGTAACCAAAGCAACTTTTACCACAAAGTCCTCAGTTCTGACATGTAGCAGGGGCTCTATTTTCTCTGCAGTGTACCAGATGTGTTTCAGCCTTCAGTCACCCGTCTGATAGTGCAGATACACTTCAGTGGTGATCAATACATGTTTCACTCATTCTTTGTGCACATGAGAGCAGCGGTCCACGTGTCAAAGTGTCCTTGAGCAAGACACTGAATCCCAAGTTACTCTGGATGAGCAGGCCAGCACCTTGCATGGCAGCTCCTCCACCTCTGGTGTGGGAGTGTGTGTGAATGGATGAATAAAAGACCACCTGTTAAGGGCTCTGTCCCGAAAGGTAGAATATAAATCCATTCATCATAACAGCAAAGCCAAGAATCGTTTAGGCTTTAAGTTTATTCTTTTAAGATTTTTACATGTAGCTACAGTGCTTATGTGCTGGTCTGAGCACCTATGAACTACATAGCAGAACAGCTTAGCTAACAAATCTATCTAAACTCAAGGATAACCAACTCACTTGTTCCAATGTTTTGGAGCATATCACACAGTCTTAAAATAATCCTCACCCCCCAAATGATCATTTTTATATCAATTATTCACCCTGTGTTATTCTGAATTCAGGAAAAAAAATGCTTTTCTTGCATGCCTCCACAGTGAAAGAAGAATCCAAAAGTGGAGAAAACTTGTGATGAACTGAAGTCATAGAAAACGAGTTTGGTAAAAAAAAAAAAAAAAACTATATTAAAACATCAGTTTACAAAGTCTCACACAACTTAGCAGTATAATGCAAGTCTTATTTACCCAGTATTATGCTCAGTACTTCCCAAACGCATGCAATTTCATTAAAATCTGACTATTAAAAACGCTTTCACATAAACAGCACAGGCGCGCTACTCATCCGTGCCTGTTTATGCAGAAGTGTTTTAAATGGTCAGGTTTTACCAGAAATGCATGTGTTTGGGAAGCACTGAGCATATGACCAGTTAAATGAGTCTTGGATTATACTCGATGAGTTGTGTCAGAGTTTGTTAATGGATGTTTTGATACTATTTTACTGTTGTTAAATGTGGACCCCGTTTACTTCAATTCATCAAGAATTTTCTCCACTTTTGGATGCTTCGTTAGCTGTGAACGCACCCAAGAAAAACAAAGTTTTCTTTCTGAATTCACTGTAACACGGGGTGAGTAATTAATCTTCAAATGGTCATTTGGGGGGTGAACTATTCCTTTAATTGGTGGTGCTCAGTTATAGAGCTGTAGATGTTTAAATGGTGAATTATTCTAAACACTTTCAGGATCATATAATACGGTATAATGTATGAATAATGAATAATGGAAAGTTTCAACATCCACAGTCCCATAACAAACTGAGAAAACTCCACCCAGTGCTGAAGACCTTGAGATGCTGTTGAAAACTTCAGAATAAAGTAGTGGACCTTGATCAGTGTAAATGTAAATGTCTGTTTTTAGTTAATCCAGTGGAATAAGCAAAAAACAGACACTCTGATTTTGTTACTTTACTGTATCTATAAAGGCTTCTCAAATTATTTTCTAGAGAATGTATTTTGCAACAGTATATACTTTCCTATCATTACATAACATTACATATAGTTAAAATATTTGCAATGAGCTCTTTATCCTTGCTGCTCTGTTTTTTTCTGCTCATGGTGTGACCATGATTCTTCCAGTGGGCAGGTAAGATGTGACTGAGTGACGTGATGATATTTGGTGTAGTTTACGATTCTGAACTGCTTTGTCAGTCAGAGACACAACCTGCCCTACCTGCTAAGTTACTCCATAATCTACAGTCGAAACCATCACCCTCGCCCTCCACACTGCCCTCTCCCACGTGGATTGGAGGAGTACATATGTGAGAATGCTGTTCATAGACTTCAGTTCAGCATTCAACACCACTGTGCCCTACTAAGCTCTTCATCAAACTCAGACACCTGGGACTAAAAACCGCCCTCTGTGACTGGATCCTGAGCTTCCTGTCAGGCAGACCTCAGGCAGTGCACATAGGCACCACCACATCCTCTAACCTGACTCTCAGCAACGGAGCCCCTCAGGGCTGCGAGCTCAGCCCCCTCCTGTATTCCTTGTTCACATGTGACTGCGTGGCCACCCACAGTTGCAACACCTTCATTAAGTTTGCTGACAACACAACTGTCATCGCCTGATCACTGAGGGCAACAAGATGGCCTACAGAGAGTAGGTCAAAGCCCTGACATGTTGATGCCAGGACAACAACCTCCATCTCAATGTCAGCAAAACTAAGGAGGTGTTACTGGACTACAGGAAGTGACAGGTAGAAGGACATGCCCCCACTACAGTGGAGAGAGTCAACAGCCTAGGTTCCTTAGGTTTCAGACGGGACCTGACCTGTTCTCACTAAACAGTCACCATCACAAGGACAATGACACAACATCTCTTTTCCCTCTGCTGGCTGAGGAGGCTCAACATGAACTCCAGGATACTCTGCAACTTCTACAAGTGAACCACCACTGCATCACCACTTTGTATGGCAGTTGTACCGCCCTTAACTGTAAGGCTTTACAGAGGGTGGTGAATATTGCTCAGCACATCACCAGGACGGAGCTGCCATCCATGGAGGAACTCTATACCCAGCACTACAGGGAGAAAGTCAACAGGATAACCATAGACCTCAATCAACCCAGCCACAATCTGCCCTGCCTGCTGCCATCAGCGACTGGTACTGCAGCAATCGGTCCCCGACACCAGGCTCAGGGACAGCTCCATAGCACAGGCCATAAGTGTTCTTGAACTCTTGAGTTCTCAAGCTCATCACTGACGCTTTACTACCTGTTTACAAGCTGCTTAACCATCCATAACTACTGTAAAACTTCAATTAAACGTCTAATTCCAATGAAACGCCCAGTCCTTTTTACTAGCCAAGTGTGGCTACACATTTTGACGAATAAAGGCCTGTCTCAATTAGTCACTGGTCTGGTTGCCAAGCAGTTCATTTTTATAGAAGCTCTTTGGATGTATAAATCAGTTTGCTGGCTAGCTACCTGAGCTAACGTTAACTGCTTCGATCATGCATTCACGTATAAACATTTAAAATTTAGTCAGTATAGAAATGCAACACATTGCAACACAACAACGAGACAGAGAATAATTCATTCAGATTTACCGGCATAGTAAAGGAGATTGAAGAAAAAAAAATGTGGTGACTCCCTGCCTCTGAAGCGGTCATAAAGTCAGAATATGTGTCCATTCCTCGATTACCCAGTAAGTTATTTCTTTAGTCCATAAAAGTCCACTGATCAAAAGAATCAAATGGGTTTTTCATGAAAATTAATCCAAGTTGTGAGTATTGTTTTACCAGGATAAAGTGGTATTGTGTCAGTAAGGCAAGTGTCGTAATCCTCGAGTATCGTATAAGGAGTGTCATACCTCTTCTTTCATACCTCTTCTTTCTGATGCACTGTCTGTTGGAGCTAGATCAAATTAATGATTCAGAATATAGGCTATATGTTATTTGAAAACATTTTTTTTTACAAGTAATATTCATACTGGTTTACATGAGCAATTCCATTGTATTTCAGATCTTTGCTGAGCAACAATTTTGTGTAAAAGAAATTAAAGGCCTGTCCCTTATAGACGCCTGTCACAAATATAAGCCTGTTGGATTCAGTGATTTAATAGCCCAGGCAACGATTTGAAGTTCTTTTTACACATACATTTACTACACTACTGCAGAACCTATCTACATTACAGTTTATTAGTTGTGTTATCACTAGAGAGAGGTGTTATCACCTCTCTACCAGAGTGTTATATTCTGTATTTTACTTATCTAATTTCCTTTAGGCCTATATTTTATATTATATGAACATTGTAGGAGAAAGCCTGAGACCATTGCCAATAACCACTTCACTGTAGTTGTGCACATGACAATAAAGAACTTGTACTTGACTTATACCTGCTCAGACATGAGTGCTGTTTGGCAATAATGCTAACAGTTATGTTCTGTATCACCCTGACCAAAAACAAAAATGAATGCACCAACTAACAAGTACTGTGTGTGTATCAAAACCTGATATATCTTGTTCCCCTGTGCCATAGAGCTCCATTAAAAACACATCAGTGTGCCACACTGTTGCACTGGGTGACATGTTCCATCATTACCATGAATGCACACACAGTGTAGTTTATTTTGACCCAGTCAAATTTTGGTCTTTCCATGGGATTTGTTGCCAATAAGAAAAATACAGAGTAACCCCAGTTGTGTCCATTAGAGTCAACTTATTGTTGTGAGTTTCTCTCTCTGAGGTCCCTTATTCTAAAAGCCAATATATAATAAATGTCCATGTTGACAAATGATTTCGCAAGTGTGGAATCGATTTTCTACAGTCTCAGCACAGCAGTGCAGAAATGAGCTTGCCTTTTGATCAACAGGTAGCACTCTTGAGTTGTGCTCAAATCTCAATTTAATTCCTGGTTAGTTGTCTAAAATAGAACAACTACACTGTGTGTGGCTAAATGGAAACATCATTTAATTGGTCAAGGAAAGTGGCAGATGACAGAATAGAGATAAACTCAGCAGAGTGACTGAATATCTGACTGACTTAAAGGTGGAGAGAGAAATGTTTTTTGCTTTAACTTGTCTTTATGAAGTAAATGATTGCTCAGTGTAATGGCTATAGAATAACAACACCATTAGTGTTTAGATTGGTTGCTTTCGCTATGCACTTTTGTTTTCCCTGGTAGCTATCTGTAGCTATCCCCAGTTACCAAAGAGTATCAGTGTAAGTTCTATTCCCAGTAGTGGAAATGGCGGAGGGTGGAACAACCGAAGTAACTGTGGAAACTGTGGTAGCTGGTAGACTCTGAGGAAAACGATCCGGTTGTCTTTGTGCCAGCAGTGCCAACAATAATCCCACTTGGAAACACTAAGGGGGTAAAAGTTGAAAAGTTGTCTGTTTCCATATTAAAGTCAGGGGACCAAGTCAGAGACACAAAATCTTACAAACTACACAAAAATAGTCACTGTGTAATGAATATGCAAAACACCCAAAAAATACAGACACCACTACCAACAGCACAAGCTGTTAGAAGCAGAAACACAACGATGAAAACATATAACCAGCATTGAGCTCGACTGAGCTAGAAAGACTGCCAAAGACGGACAAACTGTCACAGAGACAGACAGAAACAGAGAGAGAGAGAATTTGGTCCTTTGTATCTTCAAGGTGCCAGTAATAGCTGCAGCCAGATGTACAGACCACGTGTACGCACAAATACCATACATACGCCTTTTCCCACACGTAAATTTATAGTTCTAAAAGAAGAGCGTGCAGTAAGAATGTGTACACCTCACACAGACCTCAAACCAGGTGTACACACGGTTTTAGATGAGATAGCTGCAAGTGATATGATGAGGAGGAGTTTGAATATAAGTTATAGAGCATTGTGGAACAGGTCACACGAGCAGGAGCCTCATTTCCACTCCCACAGGTAGCTATAAATGGATGTGGAAACACCATTTAACATCTGTTAGCATATTGATACATTTGTCTGCTCCACCTCTCATCAAACCTGTAAATGAGTAGAACAGCAAAGAAGACGTGCAGTTTTACTGGCTGTGTCAAATCAGCGAGGTTCTCCAACAGCGCAGCTGTCATTACGCACAGCTGTGGCTATTTGTAGTATCTGTACCATTCATTTATCACATGTAACTGTAAACCATCATCAGCACTGATACCTCAGTCACAATTATTAAATGTCAGAAAGAGGATCAATGATTCGCTCACAGTGCTCATATTGACCACAATTATTATTATTGAGATTTATAAAACATGTACGCAGAGCTTTAGAAATCTGACGAATAGAATGTGTATGAATATTTCTGACTGTGCTGCCTACAGATTTAGTTGTGAATCTACACAGAGTTTTATGCATCTGGCCCCAGGTCTGAAGTATGTTCTTCCTTTATATTATAAATACCACTTTATGAGTAGGAAATGGAGCATACGTGTTGATTGTGTGCACAGATCATTTACATCTGGCCCCAGCTGCCTGTGAACACCTTTTTCAGATTTGGAAAGTATAGGTCGAGATCAGGGATTCCAAAATGTTTCCACGCCAAGGCTTCCCAAATAGCATTAGCTTATAGCCAGGAGCCCCCCTTCACAAAATGTCTTCAAACACCCATTGACAGTACTGCAGCAAATGTAAGAAGCAAAAACAGAACAACTTCTCATATATTTTCTTTCTTTTATTAAAGTATAATTAATAAATACTACTACTACTACTACTACTAATACTAATTATAATAATAATAATGTCATAAAAAAATAAATTAGAGCTGAGCATTGTCAGCCAGCTCCAAGCTAGCTCGCTAAATTTCAGAAGCACATCAGCTTCTTCTCAGGTGCAGACCGTTACCAGTCAACACTGACAGCTTATGGCGTGATGAATGAATATTTGACTGGCAGGCAATTAGAAAGATAGGCTTGGCAATAACATTTTTCAATATTTCATATGACTACATATTTTATTGTAATATACATAATAATAATAATTTGTTTGTTGTTGTTTTTAGCATTTGCCTGCATCTTCCCTCCAATTTATTGAGGCCCCCGCAGCAGCCTTCACTTTCAGATTCTTATCTAGATGATGTATCAGTGTTAGATCTTCCTTTTCTGTGTTCCATAAAGTTCCAAGCTACTGTAAGATGAAAGACAATTTGATAGTTAGAAACATGTGCAAGTCCTTGAACAGCATATATAAATACTGTGGAGTAAGCCAGTATTAATTCGTAGCACATATCGCCAATATGCTTGACTTTGAATATATGCCTACTTGAACAGATGTGGGGTTTAGAGATTGAACAGCTGCTGGCATCACAAAAATTCATGCTATATATCTGGGCGATGCAATAAAGTCTTTTCAGCAACTACAAGAGGAGTTTTATCTTGCCTGAACGCAATTTTAGCATTACCTCCAAATCAGGAATCATTTGAACTCTACTCTATATTATAAAGGTGGCAGAGTATTCTTGATAGACTTATTATGAAAGCAGCACTCAGAGAGAAAGTGATGACGAAAAACAGTACATGTAGAGTTGTTTCTGAATGACAAGACCAATTAATATTAATCATAGCTGGGAAAAGGACCTTGGTGTTCGTCTATATATGACCAGACTGAGCGCAAAGTTTTGAACAATGCCAAAAAAAGCCTTACAAGATCGGACAAATCACACCAAACACAATATATGATAATCATTAAACTGCATGCGACTCCTGATATACCTAGTAAATATGATGATTTTATGTTAATTTAATGTTTTGGTCCTCGATTCAAATAAAGATCAAGAAAATTCCTTGGATTAAAACAACAGTGAATCCAAAACTCTGTATTCTTGATGTAAGCTCTATGTCTACATAATAAGCAAAATTGCCAAGTGTCATTGCACGCCTTTCAATCATTGATTCTTGACTTGGTGTACATCCACCTACTTTACCACCGTGGTATGATAGATGACTATCAATTCTTCATTACAAAAAGTTATCCAATGTATCGCAAAAACCCTTATATGAGTTTGTAAAAGAATGGTCGCCCCTTGGTACGTATTTTAATAGTGACTGAACATGTTCACATGGGACATTAGAAAAGGAAAGTTGTTGTTGTTGTTTAATTTGAGCAAATGTGTATGTTGCTCTCCTGATATGTGCTGTTTCTTTGTTTAGGGACAGTTCACCACCAAGTCAAAAATACATACTTTTCCTTTTATCTGTAGCACTACTTGTTAATATACTGTAGACTGTTTTGGTGTGAGTTGCCGAATGTTGGAGATATCGGCCGTAGAGATGACTGCCCTCTCTCAAATATAATGGAACTAGATGGCACTCAGCTTGTGGTGCTCAAAGTGCCAAAAGAACACATTTGAAAAACGTCTGGTTCCTCAAGATAATCCACAGACCGTGTTGTGAGCAGTTTTATGCAGGAACTATGTTCTTTCCTTCTTGAGTAATTGGGTCATGATTTCTGGAAAGAGACATTGCTGTTGAGTTTTTCAAATGTGTTTCTTTTTAGGCACTTTGAGCACCACAAGCTGAGTGCCATCTAGTTCCATTATATTTGAGAGGAGGCAGACATCTTTACAGCGATTATCTCCAACACTCGGCATCTCACACCAAAACAATATACACTGACAAGCAGCTCTACAGGTAAGAGGAAAAATATGTATTTTTGATTTGGGGGTGAACTGTCCCTTTAAAAATTATTATTATTAATAATCATAATAATAATGTGAGAATAAGAAAATGAATGAGGAAAGAAATACATGTGAGCAGCCTCATATTAGAAATATTGCTACTGGCAATCAAAAAGCAGTAGTAGTTGAGAACAGACCATCACAGTGTACTCCAACTCCTCTGACTCTCATAATTAAACCAAATGTCCCACTTTCTTTGATCTACAGTTTAGGAATTCAGATCTGCATGCGGCACAAGTACACGTGTGCATATTATGATAGCACTGGGTGCAGAGTATTGAAAAGTCTGTCTGAAAACCACTGGAATTACAGTTTGAAACGTCAGATGACAAAGTACTGGCAGAGGAATAAGGTAGGCAACTAGTTGCTCAGTGAACTCTGCGGCTATCTGAGGCTTTCTGTCAAGTCCCCCAGATAGAAAACACATTCACATGCACACACACAGCAGTGTAATCACACAAGCTGACTAACACACTGTAGAGAGGATCAGTCTCCTTTCAGCATGTTCCAGCTAATAACCACATGTTAATTCAAGTGCCTGCTCACCAGGCCTGTTGCAGTCTGTGTGATTCAGCCCTCCACCCCTTCACTACCTGCTCCTGATATGAATCATAGATCCATATCACTGTCTGCCATATCCTGCACAATGACAGCAACTGCAGCTAGGGATTGTTGAAATAGTTCTCCACACACACTCCGCATTATCAAATCAACACAGTGTCATGGATAATTAGTTTCCATGTAGGGTAAGCTCTCCTACAGCAGCAACACAGTGCAGTTTACCTGAGACAGAGAGAGAGGAGAAAACATCATGTTGATGAGAAGCAGCTGAATCAGACCAGGCTTTGCGTTAACAGAAACATCCCGAGGCTCGCCATTTGTTCCTGCACATTTCTACATGCTCTTCCCCGCTGACTCAGTTCAGCAGCGGTACCTCCGGGTTACAGAAAACGCTGCATTTCCTGGGCTGTTTCACTGGCTTCTTTTTTTTTAAGAATCCAGATATGAGAGAGAGCGCTGTGGTCGCCTCGGATGACTCTGCCGCGTTAACTCCAGAAATGATGACACGCCAGAAAAGTTGAGGCCCCGGAAAAATGCTCCGCAGGGGGAAAAACAGAGAGAAAGTTCGGCATAATCATTTTGTGGGGCGCATGGCCGGAGGTGTAAGGGAGCACGGGGAACGGTGTCATTTCGGGAGGGAAGGATGAGGGGGCGAAGAATAAAAGAAAGAGAAGTGAAATGACGTTATGAATTTAGCCCATCCCAAACGTCGGGCTTAAAGCCGCAGCAGCTGCTGCACTGTGTCTCCCAAACCGGCCTTCACTGTACAGTTCATCTAAGGATCCGCTTTACATCCACTACTGCGTGCTGTCTTCAGACCGTGCACACACACACGCACACACACAGACACGCACACAGACAGACAGACAGACACACACACACACACACACACACAGAGGGCTCTCTTCAACACTGTGCACCAGCAGCTCTATATCAGCCTTCACATTGGTCCTGTTGAGTGGTGAGACTACAGTAAACACAGGGGCCCTTCACAGAGCATGATTTAAACAGGTTTCTTCTGATCAGACTTCATCCCAAAAACAAAGCAACACGTCATTTCCACCTTCAGGCATTCCCACAGTGTTATCCATACAGTGCAAGGTTATGGTGTTCGTCTATAAACCAGAAGTGGATTGACTAAATACACTGACTCCAGCACTGTAGCCTACTTAAGAACAAATAAGAGGTAATTGAATAGCCTATCTACATTTCATGGTACTTTATAGTCTAATTCTACTCCGCTACATATTAGAGGGGAATATTATTTTGACAGTAGGCCTAATAGTTACTCCTTATGATACATTACAAATCAGCATTTTACATCAATAAAATATGACACATTTTTTTATAGATTAAAAATACTCAGCAGTATATAAAATATTTTAAATTAGCTCCACTCTACCAACTAGGCTAAAACACCAAAATGCTACTTATAATGTAATGCATCAGTTATAATAAACTAATAATATAATTGTGTAACACTCACAGGGTGCATGTTTCTGCTGTAATTATTTATACCTTATACACTTAAGTACATTTTGCTACTAATAGGCTACTTATTACTGCTGGCTATTTATAATATGTAACAGTATTACTTAAATTAATGTTGTTGTAAGCTACTGTTATTACTTTCTGTCCTGCATCTCTCTCTGTCTCTCTTTATGTATCATTTTGTCATACGGATTACTCTTAATTTATTATGTTGATCTGTTCTGTACGACATCTATTGCACGTTGGTCCGTCCTGGAAGAAACTGAGGTTTCTACCATTTTTTTCCCCTGTTAAAGGTTTTTTTGGGGGAGTTTTTCCTTATCCGCTGCGAGGGTCCAAAGGACAGAGGGATGTCGTATGCTGTAAAGCCCTGTGAGGCAAATTGTGATTTGTGATATTGGGCTTTATAAATAAAATTGAATTGAGTTGAATCGAATTTACAGTACAGGACTTTTACTTTAAACATGAGTATTTTTACAGTGTGCTACTTTAATTCAAGTAAAAGCTCTAAGTACTTCCTCCACCACTGCTGAAAACTGATGTTTTGTTTTAACATTAAATCAGCTTGAGCTTCACTGTAATTGCACACAGTAAGCACCATTACAATTAAATACAGTTCAGTATATGACAGTAAAGGCAATATATATTTTAAGAAGATGAAATACACTATAAAATGTACAATGAAAACCAATGGAGTGCATGTACTACATATATTATAAAGGGATGTGACATGCATCTATACACACACACCAACAGAACTAATAAATAGACTACTTGGTTGATAAGTCATATGCTGAGCTCATTACCCAACATGAACCCTATTCTATTAATATAGAAACAGGTGTATTACTATTTCATCATTACTGGTGCATCTACATGTGAACAGTTTCTATCGTTAGTTGGTGGAGGTGGAGCTAATTTAACTACTTTAAATACTGTTGGGAAGCTTTATCTATATGAAACCCTGCTACATACCATTAACTGACCATTGGACATAATCCTACCTCTTTCTTTTTATGGCAGGCTGTGTGGGTGTTTATCCACTGGGAGGTAATACAGGATAACTATATATTGCATAGGCCTGTGCAGTTTTACAATAACAACAGTTAGAAAATATTCTGTCTATAAAAATGTGTTGTCCATATGCCTATAAACTGTTATCACAGACTATACTTTTATGTGTAATAAAAACGACACATCATTTCACTTTACAGGGTATTTCAGTTCATTATTCTTACTATCTTCTTAAGGCTTTTGTTGTTTGAAATGAGTTTTGTATGATCCTTCAGCTGGAGCAGCATTAATTTATTAATTAATTAATTACACAAACAACAACAAACAGACACTGTCAAATCAAGACATCAAGAGCAGTCTCATTTTATTTCAGCCTTGTGGGCACTGCACGCTGTGTTCAGGACAATTTCGCTACAGCAACCAATTAAATAGTCTATTCTCAGATGTAATATGTGTCACATATCATTTAATGAAGCTGGTGGTGATGGAGGGGCAACATGTGACTGCTTTCTTCTCTACTGTGGCATCTGAGCTGTTGTCAAGTGGTTCAATTCCCCAACTTCAACTCCCCATCTCCCAATGAGTGTTTCCAACAGGACTGCGGCTCTGTGTTTATTCGAGCGGCTCACTGCCCCAGCTGTATGCCGGGGCAGGAGGCCCTCTGTCGGCCTGTCATTCTAACTCAGCCCGCTGGCTCTAACTGCGGCCATTTTCTGCTGACTAACACACATACACACGCACACACACACACACACACAAACCAGGAGGAGAAGGCTGGAGCTGAACTTCAACTTGGCCTTCCGCCGTCCCGCGTGACGAGCGGAGCGGAGGCAGACGGGCCTGCAGCTGCACGCTCCTCTATAAAAGCCCCAAACTCAACAACTCTCACCCGCGACTGCACGCGCTGATACACACACCAAAGCATGTTGTCCAGTAACCAACGCGCCGCCAGGGGTCGGAAACCACATTTGCCAATGCAACGCCAATACGCCCCGCTCTCCCGCACGGAGGCGACATTGCTCCGAACTTCATTCAAAACTGTAGGAGTTTAAACTTGACCTGCTTAATGTCAGACATACTTGTCGCCTCGTGCGTGACATTAAGTCCTCTCATATTTGATAGTCTTCTGGCAAATTCGGCGAAAAATAAACCACTCAAACTTTGCTTATGTCAAGAAAATATGAAGTTTTATAATGGTTTTACACTGCTGGCTTCCGCCCTGCACTGTGTGTTTGACGGAATGACGCCAGTTAGAAGAACAGGCAAACCACATCTAAAAGTTAAGATTTTATTAAAGCACGGGGTGTTTCACGTGTCTTGTGTGAGCCGAATGTTAAAGTGGATAATGACAATTCAAAATGTTTTTCAAGTTGTGTTGTGCCTGGTGTGCATGTTTGCCGACGTGCAGGAGAGAGTATATTTGCCAGATTTTTGAATGAAATTCAGCGACAGATTCTCTCCATAGACAAGCGTCACTTATCTGACTATTATGTTCGGAAGCTGCTACAAAGTAAAAGACGGTGACAAACAGAGACAGAGGTTTGCCGACACAGAGAGAAATGGATGCAACTACAGCCGCTTTTCTGCTCCACTTTCAGCTGCGTAGCTAATGTTACTCACTCAACTCCTCGCATTGCGTCTTTTTGGGAAAACACGAAACAGCACACCAATAGGAAGGGGCACTCTACTACATTATTGTACCGGAACAGGTTTTGTCCTACCATTTCGAAGCTGAGCCGCCACCGGGGGAAGTTAAAGCTGATCTCAACGCCTGCCCATCTCACGCTGTGGGTCGTTATCATTCCATATTAATTTCTATCATCATGCGCGTGCCAGATGGAGTAAATCCGCGGTGCTCGAGACCAGAAACGTCCCGCGTCAAGCTTCGGGCTCCACGGCAGTAACCCCCCCGTCCGGTAGGCTGCGGCAGAATAGAGTAGTGCTACATTCACCTTCTACCTCTCCTCTTTTCAGCTTTCTCTCTGGCTCTGTCTTTAATCCTCTCCTCCTCTCTCACTGTTAGACCATCCATTCTCTGCTTCTCTCTATGCCACTGGCTTTTATCCTCACTTTTCCTTTCTCACCTAATTAGTCCTCCTCTGTCTCCCCACTCTTCCCTTACTCTTTTATCAATCTCTCTCCCTGTTCATTCACTAAAACTTTATGTTTTGCTGTTTTTTTTTATCATAGGCTACTAGATTTACAGCAGCCATCCCCTTCAACCTGGAACTCCTGAAGTAAGTTGAACAGAGCCTTTGATTTAAGGTGTCAGAAAGTGATGCAATGTCTCACAGGTTTCCACCCTGACCTAGAATTCCAAAATCCACTTCCTGCCAAATATTTAGCCCCATTGCTGCTCTCTTTCTCTTAAATAAGTAAATAAGTGTATTAAAGCAACACTCACTCCATGACTCACTAATAGCCCAAATAAACTTTAAAAGGAAATCTGGAGTTTTTCTTTTGGGACCTCCACCTCCTCCCTTGCCCTGGGAATTCCCCCTGATGCAATTGTGTTATTGCAAAGCCATGATTAAAATTTTCCATCCATCCACACTGATACAAAAAAGCATTAAGTCCAAGTAGAATTACACTCATAACTACAAAAATGCCTGAGATGTTTTTGTTACGTTTGAAGTACAAGCAGAATCTGCAGTTTAAAGGCAACATGAAGAACAGAGGTGAGGGGTCAGCTGCGGCTCACCATAATTAGGAAGTGGTTATGCTCTGAAGGAAATGAAAAATTATTTGCAAAAGGAGCATCCTGACCAGTTGAATTAGGAGTCAACACTGACCTGCAGACTAGCACTTGAAATATTGTATTTTTTGTGAAGGTGTATTCACTTAATCTGTCAAAACTTATCTCAGCTAGGGCCGTAATCATATATTTAACATGGGGTGGGCTGGGTTTGGGGGGTATCTTTAATTGCCTCCTTCTGAAACCCAACTCTCCAGGGGTGTCCTGGGGGAATTCCCCTAAGGAGATATTTTTAGAAACTTAACAGCTAAACTGACCATTTTAGAGCATTATGAAGTAAAAATCATGGGGTTCGCAAAGTTTTGATGCCATTTTAGGAAGTCAGACGGCCGTACAGGAAAAGTTCACATACTGAATTTTTCATGACCTTTTTTTA